AGCTTTCGTTACGTGTTTTGAGAGAGGGTAGAGAGAGATTCTGTCTGGTTTAGGAAGAGGTTTTGGCGGAGGAGGTCTGTACGAGTCGTTTCTTCGTGCATAAGGAGAACGAGAACGCGAACGGGAACGGGGTGAGTACGAGCGTCTGCGTCTGCGGCGGTAAGAGTCTTCTGAGTCTGAAGAGTAGCTGTGAATGGGGGGTGTTAGTTAGTATTTTAGCAGCCGTAGCAAACAAAGCAACCTTGAGTAAGACGATGAACCAGACGAGTACGAAGACCGCGAATCGGAGCGCGAAGAAGAAGAAGAATAAGAAGAGCGCGACGAGGAGGAAGACGGCGAGCGACTTCTGCTTCTGCCTCTGCTTCTGGTTCGACTGCGACTGCGACTGCGACTTCCTCTGTCCCGTCCGCGAGCCACGTCCGAGTGTGATGGATTAGCCGTCGTGGTTGAAGACTGCGGTGGCGGTGGTGGTGGCGGTGACGCAGAGGCCATTGATTGATTTGGTGTGGTTTCAGATTGGGTTTGTTTGGGTTGGCCTGGCCTTCTTTCTCGCTCCCTCTAACACCAAAAAAATCACAATGGTGCGTGTCCTGTCCATCCCCACCGCTTCAGTCACCATCAGCTGGCCACAGACTACTTCTGTGCAGAGAACAGAGGCTACATCGTTAGAATGCAGAGGGTTGTGAGGCTGGATGATGGAGCCTGCGTCAGTGATGGACGGGTGAAACATGTGATGCTTCAGACATGCTCTCAGTCCTCAGTCACACTCACCAGCATACGTCTTTGCGCCGTAATGAAGAACAGACTCTCGTGAGATCCATGTGGCAGGGATAAGCTATGAACCAGGCAGCGCAGGAGGGAGACAGGATTGGATGTTGTCAGCCTTCAACTACTCTCAACAAACACCACTTCATCAACCAAAGATTGGCTCTAACCGAATCAATCCAAAAACAGGAAGGAAAGAACGCTGCTCCAAAGCTCGCCAAGGTTACCAAGGTTCTCGGCCGTACCGGATCCCGGTATGTATCTGATACAGTTTTGAGTGTTTGTAGACTGAACTATCTTTCTCAGTGGTGGAGTCACCCAGGTCCGTGTCGAGTTCATTGACGACCACTCCCGTTCCATCGTCCGTAACGTCAAGGGACCAGTCCGTGAGGGAGACGTCTTGACCCTCCTCGAGTCTGAGCGGTTCGTTTTTTCCTTTCTCCATATCTCCTTTGATATACTAAATCCTCCTTCAGTGAGGCCCGTCGTCTCAGATAAGCGACAGGATGCATCCTGTTCTTTTCTTGTGAAACCATGTGCTACCTTAAACGGATTATGTTTAATACTCTTGGCGAAATAAACCCAATCTCTCGATACTGTTGATGGCAGCATATATTTATTGCAACCTTCATTTACTTCTTCACATTTGTCAAAAACACATCAGTCGTGTAGGGATACTCCACATTCCCGTCCGCATTCAACTTAACGTCGTACCCTTCCAAAACTTTGAGAACCTTTTCGCGCAAGGCAGCTCTTTCTTCTTCCGCCAACACAGAAATGTAGCTCTTGGTTTGAACACGACGCCAAATAGCTTCAATTCCACCAACACAAGTCTGCTCATGACGGAAAGTACGTTCGTTCAACGGAACTTCAAACAGCTCTCCAGCTTCCGGCTCTTGCCACACGCGTTTCCAAAGGCCAAGACGGTATTGAGGAGTTCCTTGTTCGAATTCTTCATACATAGTACGAATAGCACGTACCCATGGCGTATCTGGGTCCTCCATGTTCCAAATAAGCTATTTTTCAACAATAGTTAGTAATAAAACGGCACAAGCCTATAACAATCGCCAAGACTCACCCCCAAAACACCTCCCGGCTTCAACACGCGGCGCATTTCTCTCAACGCATCCAAATTAGCATACCAATGAAACGCTTGTGCATTGTAAATGCGGTCGACGCTGTTGTCAGGCAACGGGATGTTCGACGCCGTTGCCTCTGGATTCGAAATAAACTCCAAACTCACGCCGTTGCTTCCCGACCCCAAGTCTTGTTCCGCGAGTGCACGCATTCCGAGGTTTGGTTCGAGGCAAATGACTCTTGTTTGGGCGGGGAGGGAGAGGAGGTGTTTGGTGAAAATGCCGGTTCCGCTTCCGATTTCGAGGATTGTGAGTGGCGTTGATTCGGCTGGTCTTGAGCGGGAGAGGAGGTGGTGGACTGCGGATTTGGGGTAATCTGGGCGGGCGATTCTGTACATGGATGCACCGGCAGCGAAGCCATTTGCTGCGATTGGGTGGACTGTGGCTGCCATTTTCTTTGAGTGACAAACTGACGTGAGCAAAAATGAATATCACTCTCACGGAGGAAGAGATCGCGAGTTTGCTGGCGTGGATAGACGAAATACCAATCTCGAAGCCAAAGAAGAACATCACGAGAGACTTTAGTGATGGAGGTTTGAATCGATCAATCAACATACACAATCTCAGTCTTTGAAGTAATAATGTTTCCACACAGTCGCAACAGCAGAAGTCATACATCATTTCTGCCCGAAACTCGTCGAGCTGTTCATGTACAGCCCTGCGAACGCGGTCTCACAAAAGATGTACAACTGGAACACTTTGAATCGTAAACTATCGTCTGAATCTTCACACTACTCACAAAATTATGAACTCATTTTATATTTAGAGAAAGTATTCAGGAAACTTGGATACATGGCTCAACCCGAACTCATCTCTTGCATTGTTGCAAACAAACCTGGATACGTCGAGTTCCTCCTGTATGAACTGCGACAAAAGGTTCTTACAGCCTTTTCAAACTCCGCCTTTGGATTCGTCAACTCACCCTCATCGCAGATCGAAATATACGCGTCTGCAAATCGACAAAACCTTTCCACATCAAATCTGTTTGGCGACGGACAGCAATATCTTCCACCTCTTCCAAACAATTCCTATTATGGACAACAGCAGGCTCCGTTGCCAGGAATTTCGGGAGCCGCTGAAGGTGCTCACGGAACATATGGAGGCAGTGGCCCTGATGTAGTGGGAGGAGCGGGTCTCAACAGCGGAAGACGCGCTGCTAATACAGTAACCAATGGAGCATTACATGAGAAAGACGTCATGATTCACGAGTTACAGGAAACAATACAGGTTTGGCACGTGGAGAGATTTTTGGAACACTTATCCATTTTATAGATGTTGCAAATTAAGGTTACAAAGTTAGAACAGCTCCTTATTGTGAGTAACTTCTTTCTCAGAGGGGGATATTGACCATATTCCCATCTCACAAACACTTCATTCACGCTCACGTACCCTTACATAACAGCTGAAAGATAGACGCATTGACGAACTTGTGCGAACAGCTGAAAACAAATAAACACTGCGCTTGAAATCGTTGAAAATAAGTTTCGCCACTCCAGTCACTTCATATCCGCCCGCCACTATCGCAAGTGAAATCACGAGCGTCTAAATAATGTCAGTCCCACATACACTCCTGCATTCTCCTTCCAAGGCCCATTTGGAAACATGATGCATACAACATTCACCAACCACCACCATCCCCTCGAAAACAATAAATGTGCATTGGGTGGGGTTCGAACCCACGCGGATTGCTCCATTGGATCTTAAGGCCAACGCCTTAAACCACTCGGCCACCAATGCCTGTTTTTGGTGTAGCCTTACTACAATATGACGTCCGCTTTAGTTCTTATATAACAATTGAATGACAGTTTTTGTTGCAGGGTGCAGAGTCTATCTAGCGACGCGATAGCTTATTAGGTTACGTCATTGAGTGTCACAGTCACCAAATGTGTTGTTATATTTCCAACCTTTCGCCACATTTGGGGTAGTGTTATCATAACAAGGAATTTATAGATGAAATTCTCTTGTTCCGAATGTTTTGAATAATCATGCACTTGATTGTCTCAAAACAACGTATCGAATATTCATTAACGACTGTAAGTGACGACGAAATCAAAATATAACTCAAATAATTTAAAAGCATTTAACGTGACTGAGATGAGCCCGACTTACACTGCACTGTAATATGCTGGCATTAGGTATGAACACTTCAATCGTGTGCCAAAAATTATGCCAAATGATGTAATATTCGAAAAGCACAATGTGATACATCTTGTTCGAAACAGCAAAATAACGAATCAACTTTAGCGGAAGACTTCATGTTTTTGGAGCATTTAGATGAGCTTGGTATGATTCATGTCGATCTTAAGTCTGAAAAGTAACGTTCTAGTCATGGAGTTAATATTCTGCAAACAAAGTTCGCACTACTTTTGGTGGAACTGTTGAGCTTTCGAAGACTCTACAAAATTGAGGGTGAGTCAAGTAAGTCGGAGGCTGCATTTCGCGAGTGTACAGTTTTCCACGACACCAATCAATCTTTTTGAAAATCCTGTGTCGCATAACTTTAAACTTTCTTTCAGAAGATTGAGGGCGTTTTCATGACTCTTTTGTTTCTGGTCCTACGATGACATAAATTTTATGAATCGAACGTAATTCCATAGAACAAGGATTCATTTAAAAACTATGTAGCTTTGTATTCGATTGTGTCACAATTTGCTTCTGGAGTCGACAGAAACTACACAGGAGGTCTATGCCAATCCAGAAATTAACTATTAAGATTATGTTCTGATCAGATCTACAAAAAACATCCTGTCAATGCAAGTATCAAACATTTTATGTTTCGACATCCTTTCCTATTTCAAGAAGGAGATTCTTGATATATAGTTGTGTTGATGAGCTTGCAGCTATTTTCTTATCGAACATCTGTTTCATGTCCTGACCTTTATGTTTAAACCCAGTTGTACATGCGGATAAAGACATATAGATGATATTTCGTGTTTAAATGTTATTGAAGATTGTTTGAATTTTGGCGTCCAACAATCATATTAAACAACACGCGTATACGACTTGTTCCTCCTTAAACCGCAGAAGAATTCAATTTGTCCTCGTTTTTCGAAGTGATAAAAAGCATGGAAGCGAAGCAAAAAGATTCAAAACCAGCAGTGCATCGGGTGGGGTTCGAACCCACGCGGATTTCTCCATTGGATCTTAAGGCCAACGCCTTAAACCACTCGGCCACCGATGCTACGTTTCTGCAGAAGGATAACTGCAATATAATGGATAAATACTGGAAATACACAACAGTAAACCTTAATAATTATAAAGAAGATGCAAACAAGAATTTAAGATATAGGTTCTTTTTTATTTAGTCAATCTGACTATTCCGTACGCAATGCATCGTATCTGAGAGCAAATTCATCCTTATCAGCAACCTCTTTGTTCGCCCTCCAGTGAACTTCATTGACGCGTTTAAAGTCTTTTGACACATACATTTCGAAAGACAGGTATGCGATCCATGAATCTAACACGAAAGAGAATCAGTCTCTGCTTAATCTTTCGACTGAGGGGAACTTACCAATTCTGGTTGGGTCGGAGAAACAAACGAGTTCATGCATTTTTCTCAGTCGTGCAATTTGAACAGGTGTGGCCACAGGCTTCAGGCTGTTCTTTGCCAGCTCAACGATTCCTCCCTTTGCCTCTACATCTCCCAACACGTCCCTCTCCTCAAACTCCAAACAACAGTTGAAGAAGAAGGTGCTTCGTTGTTTAAAGGACATTAACCGGTCAGAAGATTTTCGTACACGGTCGATACCGCCAATCTTGAAAGACCAATCCAGATATACGACTGTGATGTATGACTCAAACTCAGCAGTATCCACTGATGCACCACCAAGTTCTTGGACACCCAAGCATTCACGGAACCGCTTCTCAACGACTTCAATTCGGTCTGACTTTGAGTTTGCGTCTGTGTTAGCCGCGACCCACTCCAAATACAGTTTCCAGAGGTTAAATCGCTCTGTTTTTAACTCGATTGTGCTCATTTCTCCTGCAGCAGGCTTTCCAACAACTCCAAGAGCTTTAGCAAACTCAACTTCAACGAAGTCATCTGTTTTCTTCAACTCCTTCTCGTTTGAAATCAAAAGGCGTAGTTTGGTTGTCCAGAGTAGACCACTTGCTGGATGGTGTTGGATTCCGTTTTCCAGAACAGACACTTTTGATTTGACTTCGTGCTTACTCAATTCCGACCATGAGATGTACATTTCAGGAGCACAACTAGATCCTTCATGGGCACGCGAGTACGACTTTTGGAGAATGACAAACAGGTATCGTTGCAAGTTGGTTTCGGTCACTTTTGAAAGTGTATCCGTGAGGAATGATGTGTACCGATTCCACATCTGAGGTGTTGGCGTTTTCTACAATTTGCGATGTTAGCTTGAATCCATGGGGTGACGATATAGGAGAGTGTAGAGTAGAATGTCTCAAAGCTTTGATTTCCGCCCAAAAACCATGGAAAGAATTATGTTCTCAAGAATGGGGTTTGGTCTCCGCCATTTTTGCTGCTCGTGGCTAGCAATAAAAGTGGGGTTTGACAGAAAGAGGGAAGCCGAGTTTCAGTCAGGATAATGCTTAAGAGATATCCCCGTATTCATATACGCCCTTCCGTTGCTTCTGTCTACCAAACTATACTCGACTTGCATAATCATAAAAGTCGGTATGCATGTGAGCCAGCAAGCACTCAATGAGAAGCATGATTGGAAAGGGCGGTGATTGCAAGAAGGGCGATTAAAACAGAATGCAAACCTTGACAGATGCCTCGTATTCTTCAACCACAGACTTAAGAGCGATTGGAAATTGAGCATCAGATGGATTGACTCCAACCAAAGCCTTCTCTGCAAGAACACCGACGGCTACGGGATCCCATGCGAAATCGGTTTTCAAGGATTCATAAATGTCACTTTGAGCAAACAACGTGTCAGATCCAAAAGCTTGATATAACCTCAAGAAACCAATACGGAATTCAAGATCATTCGGGATTTCTGAAGTTAACACGCAAGTTAGAACATCTTTCTTTGAGACATGAACAGTACCTTTGATTGCATTTCGGTAAATCGCCTTTGGAATCGCCAACTCGATCATAGCCTGCTGAACAGGAGACAGCTTCTTCCCCATCGCCATAGCAGGATCTTGTGCCGAAGACTCATTGGAAACCTTGATTGTAGGATCTAAATCCAACTGCGTCTTATTTCCTCCCTCTTCGTTCGCCAAGGTGACTCCAGTATCTCCTCCTTCCTCATCCCCATCATCATCTCCCGCTTCCGCAAGTTTTCTCTTGATCGCAGCAGAAGGCTCGTTAACAGCAGCAGGGCCAGTAGGTTTCAATCCCAACGCGGAATCCCCAAACAAAATCCTTCGACGTTCTTTGATTTTCTCAACCCAGAGAAGTTCGAGCTTAAAGTATTCGTGCCAGAGATTGGTTGCTTCTTTGTTGATACGGAGTCCACGTTGCATGAGGACACGCGCGGATGTCATGTTTTTGTTGCTGACGAATTCGTATTGGGCGGCCAGGATGTACATGGATGGGTTTGTTGGGTGAAGCTGGATTGCTCTGTTTTTATGTTCAGTTTAGTTCACTCGTAAACACACACCAACCAACAATCACCTTGCAAAGCTTCGTCCCAAGGCAGCTGACGCTCCCATACTCTTTGCCCACTCAAAATACTGGACCCACAACTCGACATCACCGCTAAACTTTTTCAAAGCTTTTTGGTACAATCCATTGATACGTTTCGTGAGGGAATAGTCAGAAAGTGTGAATCCAAGTTTCTTTTTCGCCTCATTATCGACTTCATCCTGGTTTGCGTCGAGACCCAACCGGATTTTCCGTTTCTTTCTGAGTCTGTCCAGGTTGATTTCGTATTCAATGTACTTGAGGAAGTCAGCACGGCGGCCGATACGACGATGAATTGCGTATTCGTGGGCGGTTCTGCGCTTGACGATTTCTTTGATTTCAGCCTGTTGTCAAGAAAAGGTGTAAGTTGGAACAGTTGGTTCAAACGCGGTTGGCTTCTGCCTGCGTTACCTTGGTGAAGATTCCACGTTGCTCAAGATCCTCGAGCTCCGGGATCATCTTCTCGAGATGGAACTGCACTTGCTCGGCCATCTTGACGGGTGGTGATCAGGAAGTGGTGGTGAAAACTTTGAGAAAAAACAAAAAAGAAGAAAGAAAGAAGAAAGAAAGGAAGCACAAACAAGAACCAAAAAAAGAGATATTTCATTCATTTTCATTATTTCATAATCCAAAAACCTGATACAACTCATCCCTCGAATCATCTCTTCTCATTCACCCTGACATTCACTTATTCTTGACAACAACGGGATACATCCAATGTCCCCACTCTCCAAACCAATCCCTCGCCAAAACATGCACAAGATACTCCCCATTCTTAACACCCCTCGTATCCCATCCACTTCCCTCCCCACTCGAAATCTCACCCCTCACAAGATTCGTAACTGAAAAGTACGCACGACGCACCGAATACTCATACTGTGAGACAACCTTCTCCCCATCCACATTCACAAACTCATACTTAATCAAATCCTTCAACGGGCCCGTGTCTTTTGCGTCAACGTCAAGTGGCCATTGCACAGGCGGCAACGACTCGAACGAGACGAACGTGTTGACGGGGGTTACGAGTTCGTATTTTGAGGCGATGTGGGTTGCGCCTTCGTGGCCTTTTGGAATTGGTTTTGTGGTTGTGTCGAGGAGGTTGACGGGTTGGGTGGGACGTTTGCTGATGAACCAGACAATTTCGTGGGGGCATTGGAGGAAAGGTGTTCCAGGGATGTTGTTGGGGGATGTGAGTTCTGTGGAGAGGTGCGCGACAGCGTGAATGACACCCTTGACTATTGGGCCTTTGACTTCAGGAGCAAGGTGTGGGGCATCGAGATGTGTGGATTGGGCAAATGCAGGTGCGTCTTGTTTGTGAAAGAGGTGGAGAGGTTCGAGGCTGGACGGTTTGATGGTGCTTGTGTAGGATTTCCCGTGGTTGAGGAATGAGAGAGGGTTGTAATATGTCCAGCCCGGAACGTATGGAAGCGGGTATCCATCCTTTTCAACATCCCAATAGTCTGAAGCGCGAACAACATTCATGTGAGTATGGTGGTAATTGGCGCCATTCATTAAATCACCCCAAAAGACAACATTCCCAACAACGCGACCTCTTTTAATTTTGTCTCCTTTTTTGACTGTCGGATGCAAGTGGTGGAACTGCCAAATAAAGTCATACTCGTCACGCACCTTGAGATAAAAATAATAAGTATGAAATGAAGGAATGTCAACGAATACAAAATCTCGCTCACCATCACAGACCAATATGCATCCGTGTCACCGTATTTAACAACTTTGACGACTTTGCCGTCAATAGGAGAATGACAGGAAGCATTTGCAGCAGTTCGAATATCCAAGCCTCCATGCAAATACGGCTCGCCATAAGTCTGGAAGTTGTGCATAACGGAACCAATCATATTGGGTCCAGATGGAGGCCAGACTCCATCCTCATTGGCGAATGGCCAAGGAACAGTGGAACGCTTCAGAAGACTTAATCTTTCTTCGATGAAATAAAACTTCTTTTCCTTCTTTTTCTTGTGGGCTTTGAAGGCGGAAAAGAAGTGTTTCACGGTTTTCTTCCACCAGCTCTTTGAGTGCCTGTGATGATGCTGATGATGTCCATGGTCTCGCTTGGATAGAGCTCTTGGAGTTGATTTTTTAAAGTGTTCGTATTCTTGTAGGAGATCCATATCGGCATCATCATCTCTTCCGCTCCTCTCCTGACTCTCTCTCTCGCTTCTCTTCCTTGCCTCTGTCAGATTTGTAGAAGATGACGAATCAGACACTGAATTCTTGTCCTTGATTCTTTTCGCCAATACTTTGAATTTATAAATGAGCCATTTCCCATCCTTTGCATCGTCATAGTCCTTTTTGAAGTTGACGCACTTTGTTGAGAAAGCCGCCAGATCACCAACAATGTATTCAGGGACACACTTTTTGAATTCGTGGAGGACAGCGAATCCAGGCTGGTTCTTGAGCTTCACCTTCCAGTGCAGCTGCAGCGAACGCGGATCGACGAGACGCGGGTCAAAGCGGACCTCGAGTTTTGTGGGCGGCTCGACGGCGGCGGCGGCCGAGTTCACGTTGATTCGAAGCGGCGGCGGCGTGGACAAAGTGGTTGTCTTTGAGAGGAAAGA